TGGTGCTGAGGGGCGTGGGCCCCCTTCCTGCGCCGTCACTGACAGTTGGACATGACTGTCCCTGGGACAACATTCACGCAGCTCTCAGCCGCCCGCATCAACATCCAAGGGAGCGCGATGGACACCCCCATGAGCGGAGGGGGCAATGGGCAGCGAGGCACAGGGGACTCCACACGCTCCTCCCCGACCACACAGATGTGTCACCTAGCCTCACCTTTCCGCCCTTCCCAGGGACCTCCGTGGGCTACAGGGCCTGCTCAGCTGTTCCTCAGGGCGTCTGCCCCACACCCACGACCGCCCACGGAAGCCGTGTCTACTGACCAAAGCCTGCCATCCCCACTTCCCAGAGAGCAGGCATCTCCCTGCCCTGCCTAACCTGGGGCAGCTCCCAGTGTGTGCGAACAAACCAGAGGGCACAGCGAGGCAGGCACCACGACATCCTGCCCTGCCCTCCTGTGCCCCGAGAGCCCGTCTGCTCCAGGCTGCTCCCATGGCTGTCGAAGCTAAGGACAGACAGGGTGTGGCCCTGCCCCCACCTCCAGCCTCCAGCCCCAGGTCAGGGAGGCAGGTGGCCATAGTCGGCCCAGTCAGGGATGGAGCCCTGCCCCAGACCTGGGCTTCTGGAGGGAGGCTTCTGGGGCTGGCAAGGGTACGTGTGCTGTGGGTGAGGACGCTGCTTCACGCCCGCCACCGAGCTGCACTGCACAGGCACGGGGCCTCTCCTCTCCTGGCTCTCGCAGGGCCCAGGACGCTGCAGAGGCTACCGCACCGCAGGGTGCAGGCACAGCACGGGGAGGCGCCTGGCAGCCCGCCCACCGCAGCAGTCTGCCACCCCACCCCCAAGCACAGTGCGGGCCACACACCTCGAGCCACAGCTACCCTGCCAGAGGCCCCGTGTGACACAGCTCCGCCATGCCCGGGCGCGCTGCCCAGCGGAGATGGGGGAGGGCTCAGCCAGAGCGCTGAGTCAGCTGCTCTCAGCCCGTCCCTGCCTGGGCTGGGATGCGGCGGCACAGCCGGGACCTTCTGGAAAGCGGCCTCTGCAGGCCCCCGCCCCGGGAGTCAGCTAATCCCAGCTGGGTGCCTAGCCTCCTGGCCTTCCTCTGGGTAGGGGAGGGCCAGGGCAAAGAGGGACCCTTTCCAGAAAAGGGAAAAGAGGAAAAGAGAAAGCCGCCCTGGCCTCTGCGTATCCAGCAAGCAGGCGCCCGCTGGGAGTGCTGAGTCAGCACTGGGCGCTGCTGGCTCCTCCAATCACAGGGGAGGGACAGGGCCTCCCAAGGTCAGGGACCATGGGGAGGTACGGGGGAGCCCACATATGCGGGGGCAGAGCTCGGGTCCACACCAGCCCCACTTTCCAGGGTGGGAGCTGTCCCCACCCCCTTGGCCAGGCCCCTGAAGCTGGGGGACCCCAGGGCCCTAACCGTGTCGATATGCACGTGTGAAGCTGCAGGCCTGTCCCCACCGGGGCACCTGGGCTGGCTGCACTGCTCAAGGGCACGAGGGTCTTGTGAGGTTGTGTGGTCCACCCTGCACCTGGGCCTAGAAATGCCCAAATGCAGCCCCCTCTGGCCATCCCCCCGAGCGGGCGGAGGGGCCATGGGATCATGGGACCCTGTGTCATGGGTGATGAAACCGCACTCCAGGCTGCCCCACTCTCCAGGCAGGGCCCAGCTAGCGCATTCTCCCCACCCCATCACTGGCTGCCATTTTCTGCCACCCTCTGCCCACTCCTCTCCCTCCTCCCTAGGGTCCTCTGCACGTGCCCAGCCCCAAACCCTCCGTGGGCACTGCCCTGCCTTTGCCACCTTCCTTCTCTGCGGCTGCCCTCAGGGTTTGCTCCGACACTGCCTGCCCACCTCTGCTTCCCCTCCAGGTGAAACCGGAGCCTTAGACACCAAATCAACGTCCACCGCCACTGCTCCCAGGGTGACCTCATCCGCCCAGTGCTGGGCAGCTCTGCCAGTTCCAGAACCATCCTGGCACCTGCCTGTCCTCTGAGCTGTCTGGGTCCACTGAGCTGCATGTGCCTCCCTCACCCACTCTGCCAGTCCTGGCTCCGCCCCACCTCCCACCCCCCAGACTTCTGGTCACTTCTTGCCTGGCCAGCAGCCAGGTCCCGTGCAGCAGTGAGGGGCTCTCTGCCCTGACCTCTGGGGTCAGGGTGAGCACCAAGCGCACAGTGCCCATCAAGGGACGTGCAGCTGGTACAGCCTGAGGACATGGGAGGGGACACGGCAGCTTGGCAGCTCTTGGTCCCCAGGAAGGTCTCCTTGGCTTCTGGGGCTTATGAAATGCTCCCCACGGTTGCCTGCAGTTCAGCTGCACGGGCCTCTGGACATGGCCCTGCCACCAGGCTCCCCATGCTCGTGGCCATGGGGGCTGCCAGCTCCTGCCCGGGCAGTGCAGGTGCAGTCCCACCGTGGTGGGCATTCTCCTGGACAGAGATGGCCTTGACAAGAAGCAACTGAAAACTCCCAGACTCCACCCGGAACGAGGGTGAGACAGGTAGGGAGGCCCGGGAGAGGCTGGTGTTCTCACACGGTCTGGCCAGGCAGAGCAGACTGATCAGTACTCTGGGCTCGTGGCGATGCCACGGGCACACCTTGGCACGGCTGTCAGGGCCACACTGCTGCGGGCTGGGCACATCTCCTGGGGCCTGGAGCGTGGGTGCCATGAGCACCCTGTCCCACAGCCACGGCCGTGCCCCGGGCCAGCAGGGAAACAGCTGCTTCCCTACAAGAGGCACCTTCTAGCCACCGGCTTGGAAGGAAGCCAGTGCCCTCCTGGCAGAAGTCTCTGGAGTCTCTGTGATGTGAGAAAGTGAGAACTGTGACGTGCCCTTCCCACATGCTAAGGAAGCCTCCGTAAGACAAAAATACCAAAGAGCATCTTCCATTTTCCAAACTTTTTGGTTAAACAAGAACTACAACGTCCAGGTTGGCTTGGGTGTAGCGGCAACGCACTGCCCTAGAAAGCAGATCCCACATGCAGCCACGGTGCAATCCCCAGCCTGGCCTGCCTGAAGCGTGTCCAAGACCTGATGGTCGGGGGACTGGAGGACTGTGGCCTCCCAGACTCTCCAAGGGAGCCCCTCCCTGACTCTGGCCTGCACACGGTCTCTTACCAGCAAAGGAGAAGAGGGAACAGCGGCACCGGGGGCTGCACAGCACTGCGGCCACGGGGCACAGAGCACGAGGCAAGGGGAGCCCAAGGTCAGACTCCCGAGTACAGTGGGTACGAGTCACCGCCATCGGGGCTGGCTGAAGGCCGTGGGGACACTTGACCATCCGTCTCTCATGGAGGAAATTAATAAACGTGTCACATTTTGTCTAATGGTGTCTATGGCGTTTCAGGTTACTACAGCCTTAAAAAGGGAAATAAAACCTTAAAGCTTTAAGCACTCACTCGATTAACACGTTAAAAAAATAAGTTTAATGCAGGTGGTCACCTCATAAGGATTCCACAGGCACTCTAGACACTGAGCAGCAAGGTGTGCAGCGTGTGACGAAGTACCGTCAGCTCTGTGTTTACATTCGCGGCAGCACGGCCAGGCCCCTCCACCCCCAGCCCTGGACTTGCGCCACCTTCACCTCCTGCGAGGAGGCTCCCGCGGTTCTGAGTAACACGAGCCAGGAAGAGAAAATGAAGCTTCTTTGAGGAAACAGCATGATTTAGTGCAAAAGGCTCTCTGCAGCGAGCGGAGGGGTCCACTGGGTCAGCGCCTCCCCTGCCAGCCCGGGTCGGCAGATGCTCTCTCCAGAGCTACCCCGCCCACCTCAAGTCACTGAGCAAAGCCAACTGCCAATCACCGAGCACAGGTGACAGTCAAGGCCTTGCTGTCTCCACCTGACTCGGGCTTTTCTGTCTCTTCTCAGTGGCACACAACTGCCACCTGTGTCCCTGGCCACTGGCCTGCCTTGCAGGGCAGGATCGAAGGAGCCCCCTGTGTCCATGTGGTATGGCGCGACAACTTGGGGTAGAGCAAGCGTTAGCACATTGTCTTCGTCCTGCCCCCACCCCAGCATAATGACCCCACGTGCCCTCCCGCTCACCGGGCCGCCCTCTCCACGGTAGCCCCCACAGTGGCTGAAATGCCACCAGAGGTTGGTGAAGGTCCAGGGGAGAGGCTGCCATCTCAATGTTTTTTTTTTTTGGAGAGGTTTTTGCTATAGGGCGTGTGTGCTCGCCAGAAAAACAGAGAGAGCCAAAGA